GATCAGTCATATTATCATCACCTAATAATAGACTTTTCCAGTTCAACTATTATTCTGTAAAAAAGGCTTTCCTGTTGTTTAAAACTAGATGGGGAATTGACAGCAAGGAGGATTTTTGAATAGAGTAGCCAACTACGGGGTACAATAAGGCCTGGAGAAAGCACAAAGTAACCAGTGTGCGGTAAGAATGGCCCCGGAAAAAATGGCCCCGGTAGAAATGGCCCCAAATGACAGGTAGGTAAAAATGGCCCCCAATTATAAAATTCTGTATTAAAACTGATTTAAAAAAAAATCATTATATGCATTTTTTTAAACTGAAATAATTTAGATTTTAAAAGGAATCTAACATCAAATAACATCAGATAAAATATTCAAAGATAAAAAAAAGCCATGAATAACACTTTTTATTTTTTTTCCATCTAAATGTTAAAAAATAACAACATAATCAATAAATCAACATAAATCATGCATTTATTAATACTAATATAATTTATGTGTGGCTAAATTCACGGAAGCGGAATCATAATTTTCCAGAAATTCAATCCGGGTATTGGTAAACCCCACAAACAATGGGCTGATATGAACATCAAATTATTACTTTTTTTAAAGAAAATCATAATTAAAGGGTTTGCAGTGTGTTTTTGGAGGTTTGTGGTGCATTTGCAAGTATTTATTTGCAAAAAAAAAAACATTTTAACCAAAAATAGGTTCTTATGAATGTATTTAATTTTCTTATTGATATACCAAGTGAGTCAATCACAAATGAATTGTTTGGTTTTCAACAATGTGTTTTGGGAGGTTTGTGGGATTTAGCAATACCATTTAATCCTACCATAATTACCCTACCCTCACAATTACACACCATTTTAATTCATAGCATAACTGCCATATTTACATAACTATATATAGTATACCTCAGTTTACATATAGTTTTGAAAATAATAAATTGACCAAAAATAAAATTATGGCCACTGGTTTCTGAGCAAATAGTAGGCACTTGGATTTAGTTGGTGGGGAGTAAAAACCAAGTATGCAACTAAATAAATGTATTACTAATTATTCAGTTTACAATGGGCTGATATGAACATCAAATTATTACTTTTTTTAAAGAAAATCATAATTAAAGGGTCTGCAGTGTGTTTTTGGAGGTTTGTGGTGCATTTGCAAGTATTTTTTTGCAAAAAAAAAATCTACATTTTAACCAAAAAATAGGTTCTTATGAATGTATTTAATTTTCTTATTGATATACCAAGTGAGTCAATCACAAATGAATTATTTAGTTTTCAACAATGTGTTTTGGGAGGTTTGTGGGATATCATTTAATCCTACCATAATTACCCTACCCTCACAATTACACACCATTTTAATTCATAGCATAACTGCCATATTTACATAACTATATATAGTATACCTCAGTTTACATATAGTTTTGAAAATAATAAATTGACCAAAAAAAAAAATTATGGCCACTGGTTTCTGAGCCAGTAGTAGGCACTTGGATTTAGTTGGTGGGGAGTAAAAACCAAGTATGCAATTAAATAAGTTGACTAAATAAATGTATTACTAATTATTCAGTTTACTAAAAACAATATTTGATAATAACAAATACTTCTTTGAAGTAAGTCTAAGCAGAACATTTATTGCTAAGTTTGTGAGAAAGTAAGCCTCTCCCTTTTCCCATACATGAACTTGTGATTCAAACACACAATTGATCCACATGCTTTAACTAATTTAATTTGCATTGTTTATAACAAGTAAAGTTATTTCATTTGATACTTAACAAAAGTGAATTTTGTGGTTATCTATGAGTTGCATATTTTGGTAGTTGAAGTACTGTATGTATGTCATTAATCTACTTTGTTAGTGGAATAACGTTTTTAAAACTTTTATTTCTACTATCAAAAAAAGTTATTCAATGGCCATTGTTTTCCGATAATCTCTCAGTACATTATTTGCATCTGTTGTGTAACTGTATTTGTTAAAAAACAAATACTTATAGAGAAATAAAAAAAAAAAAAAATCACATAATTTGATCTTATCATCAAAGGAAAAAATAAAACTTATTTTATAAATTTACAGGGTATTTTACAGCATTTAAAATTTATTTTTTTATTGAATTTTATAATTGGGGGACATTTTTTATTATTGATTCAATTCTTGCTATTACAATATTTAAATATTTTAAGATTTAAAATATATATATATATATATCACTTCTATTACTGAATTTTTTTCATTAGGGCCATTTTTACCAGGGCTATTTTTACAAAGGCCATTTTTTCCTGGGCCATTTTTACCAGGGCCATTTTTGCCTGCATTCAAAGTAGACACTTATGGTGTCACCTTGAAGTAATCTTCACCCAGTGGTTTGAAAATGGATAAAGATGATGTCAATCCTGAAGTTCTTCAGTACATTGTATATAGGGTGTGTGGTACAACAGACTGTTATGGAGAGTTTAACTTGCTTCACTATCACATTATATTCAATGACACAGTCTGGTGTTATCCCACAAATGACAAATGCACATGTTTTTGTATGTTTAGGATTTCATTTTGTGGGGCCCAGCAACAATATGCAAGGTCTGCCTTCGAAATTCATGTGCACTTTTATAACTGTGAACCTGTATTTGAACTCAATCTCCAAACCGTAACTTCCAAAACTATTAAACCCATCCAAAGCTCTGAACAGTAAGAATCCCCAGGGTAGTAAATTCCCAGATCATGGAATTAATGGAGCCTCTGTTAAGCATAACACTGCACTGAAATAACACTTTTGAGCTAACTGTTGCGAACAAAACCAATTATTGAAATGGTATGTCAGTAATTTAGATGAAAGGTAGCTGTGACAATAAGGGGTTGAACTTCTTCACAAAATAACAAACTAATTCAACCACAATCTTTTGTTCGACCATGAACTTTCACTATAGTTTGAGTTTTGTCAATCTACTCTACAGAAGTGTTTTTGTTTGGTGAGTTGTAGGTACAATTAGTTAGATTTCTAGTCTAATGACTGTTCGGCATCAGTTGGCATTAGACAAGTGATACTCTATTGGGTTTCATATCCAGGGATACTATTGAAATACACTAATACCAGAACAAGACAATAATATTTAGGAGCCATGTGGAGCAAAGAAAATATTTTTATTCACTATGATTTACTAGAGCAAAAGTGCTGTAAACAGTTGGTTTATTGACTAGACAGGTAACTGGATTAGCTACAGCCTAAGGCTTCTGATTTGATTAAACAACTACATTGATTGAGAATATAGAATTCTATGCTTATAAACATGAACAATAACTC